TGGAGTCAGGAGTCGTTGAGCCTGGGTTGAGGTTGCTGTGAGCGAGGTGACGCCACGGACTCACTTAGCCCGGACAACAGAGTGAGACTGTCTCAAAAAAAGAAAGAATTATAATGGAGGTCTAGTTGCACTTGGAAGGGGAATTGGCAGTTTGATTTTCGGCTGCATTCACGAAATTTCTTCCTCTGGTTTTCAGTGACTTAGTTTCATGGAATTTGTGATACGAAGTACCAGGGACGCTGTGGACGGCTCCCCCCCCCCTGATTCAGTGCTGACTGTGACCATAGTCACTGAGGTTTTTCCGGTTGTGATGGTGAGTGTGGTGAGGCAGTGTATGAAGGCCTAGTGTGAATGTTGTTAGTAGATGGCGTTTCTAAGAGTTGATCGTGTCTACTGGGCACTGGAGTCATTTGTACCTGATGGTGAGACCGGAGTACGCGTGGGTGTATGATTCTTTTTTTTGTTAGGACTGATGTCGATAATTCAACCTTGTTGTACAGTCAGTAGGAATTGAGGATTTTAAATCGGATGAATATGCACTGGTATTATCTCTCTTTCGTAGTCGCAAGATTTTATATAAGGGTGTTTGGGTATTTCTAATCTTAGCCAGTTGGACTATTCTTATATACGTCGTGGTTTCTATTGGTTAATGTTTCTGTAGCGGTTAACGCGCACTTATTGACCTAGGAGGAACGGTGAGTTGGTGGCGCTAGTCATACGTCTTAGGCAATGAAACCGTTGCATTGTCGTCTTGTATGCCAGGGAGAAGAATGCGCGCTGAGCAGCCTTCTTCATACGCATGCTGAAGAAGGTAGCATAGTGTCTGGTGGATGATTGATTGCTTTTTTTGGGTTCTTATAATAGGAGATATCTAAGGGGAAAACTCGAGCGCGAACAGACTTTTAGTGGCTTGGATCAAGTTGGGGTTTGTGACGAGAATGAACTTAGTGATGAACTGTATTGGTTCCGAGTTATATTTTAGAAGCGTCTTGCCGTCTATTAGGTGATAATTGTTATAACTGAGTAATGAGGTGGGAGTGTAAAAAATACTATATTCAAATGAAATAAAATTCTTCTAAATGGACATGAGTTTTGTTAGTGACTGAAATTTGTGAGGTGTATTCATTGGTGGAAAAGATTTTTAGGGATGAATAATTTATTGATATCTCTTGTTCTTGTTTTCGGGGGAGATACGAACAGGAGCTGCATTTCCTGCTGCACCGTTGATCTGCTGACTTTGTGATTCAGCAAATGACCTATGTTGTCATGTGTTTAGATGGCGCGATGCAGTTTGGTGCCCGTAAACAGTGTGCGATGTATGTATGGTGAGAGTGTAGATATTGGTTAGGGAAACATTCGTTGAGTCTTTTTGCCGGGTAAATAAGGATAAGTGTCGAGCAATCGATATAAGTGTTGAAATCGCATTGATTTGACGGAATTGTGTAGGTCTGACCATCTTTTCTCTCAAGGGGTAAGTAGTTTATAGCTCCAAGGGTACATGGGCATTTCTTGATCAGGGTTCTGTATGTATGTCCTAGCCTGGATTCAGGCATTTGGTGGGGCTCATATTGGCAAATTTCTAGCTGCTCTAGAAGTGCTCCTCGAGATTGCATTCTATCGTACTTTAATAGTAATTATTATGGGTTGCTCTCAGGGTGGATCTGTGGTGTTGTGGAGATCCTGAACTAGATCGTGTTTCCAAAAAATGTTGCAGCCTCTTCGGGCAGCCATAATAATACGAGAGATGGTATTGAACTGTTAGTGGTGATGTACTCTACTGGAAAGTATGACTGTACATTTCGATTTGTGAAAAAAATGTCGGCAGTGCTCCAATGGCATATGGAATCACAGGGTCGTGATTAATATGTAGTTTGTTGAGACAGTGAATGAGATCGTCTACACTCAACAATCATTTGAAGATATCTTCATTCAGATATGGTGATCCTCGATGCGGTACCTGGAGGCCCTGTTTCTTGGTTCTGGTGAATGTCCAGGCCATCCTGATCCAGGGGAAAGTGAGTGCGAATGGGAGATGATCGAATAGTGCTGCTATTTATTGGCTTAGTTGTGTAAGCCTAACTCGTCTGTAGTCTGACATGACTGCCTGGCCTTCTTGGTTGGCTAGGTCAGATTTCAGGATCAAAAGATGATGCATAGAACAGGCTGTTCGCGGCTCTGTGGTGTGTTTACGCTGCTAGTTTTCTAGCATCTTGGGACGTAGGATCGGTGGTATTGTGTTATAGAGGTAAAGAGTTGTGCGAGACTATGTTGCTGAGTTGCTCGTTAAGAGTCAAAGCAATGTTTATGTAAAGGGGAATCAAGACTAATATGGTGCAAGATGTATCTAAAGGTAGAATGGGGATTAATATGTGATATAGAGAGAACAATTATTCTGGCAATTTTGGCACTAATTTGTGTGCGGTTTGGAAATGCTGTAGTCCAGCTACTCGGAGTGTTTTAGGCGTTAGGGGGCTCGAGGACCGAGATCTGCTGAGCCAGTTTTGAGGTGTGTGATGTTGGTTGAGCGCCACTGGACTGTTACGAGCAGCGGCGATGCAGAGCAAACTCAGTGAAGTGCTCTGAGAAAGTGAGAAAGGGATAGAACGAAGGTTGGTTTAATAGATAGATGACAATGGACCAATCATTGGGTCGCTTTTTTAATGTCAGCAAGAAAGGGATGTAAGCTTTTTGTGATTGCGGGAAGGCGAATTTAATCGAGGGAACAAAAGTGGTGCTGTAGGTTATAATTGTAGTTGCAGGCGGCAGTGGGCCGAAATAATGCAAAGTGTTGTGTCTATAACAGATGTCTGCGGGTGGTAGAAGTGTCAGTAATCGAGTGATGCAAAGAATTTATTTCTTCTCTAATTTTTTGTAGGGTACTTGGGATGATTACTGGTTTGACGCTGTTGAACCGCTGTTCACTTGTTTCATAACAATTGGTATTGCAAGATGGTGAGAGAGGGTCCAGTAAAGGGCAGCTGTGCAAGCCAATTCCCTCGCAGCAAGGTCCGCCAGGGTAAGTCCGTTTATAAGAATCTCAGAATGCTCGCTTCTAGGAGTCCCTTAGTGTATGTGAGCTTGTGACAACGGAACATCGGGGACTTGAGACCAGATGTCCTGCGCTCCGGCGAGGTCGGGAAGATGTTTTAGATCTTACGAGGAGACATGTTTCTTTCTCTCATCGCCCACCGGGATTTATGTGGGTCCTTTCTAGGACAGCTGGTAAAACCTATGAAGCACCAATGTGCTGTTTACTGCGCCACGCACTGCGTATTCACACCCCTATGTACGTGTGTGGGTGGTCCCCTATTGCTTGATGACTTGTGGACAACAGACATCAGTGCTGACAAAAAAGAGTATGGGGTGTTTTTTATTCCTTTCGCAGGGTTTTCTTGATTTCTTCTCCGATAGGAAGCTTACCGCGTGGCTGGTGCTCGCGTCCGGCTGGCGCCAGGCTGCACCTAGCGGGAGACGTGGCTGCTGATGTAGGTAGCGATCACGGGCGCGCTGACTCGGCTCTCGTCCTGCTGGGTGCCCTGTGCTCGCTTCCCCAAGAAGGAGCAGGAGTTAAGCCTTAAGAGGTGACGGTCAGGGAGGGATGGGGAAGTGTGTGTCCCAGGGCAGGGGGAAGGATGCATTCGAGTTTGAGACGTCCTTGGTGGTAGTGCCAGAGTGTGGGATAGTCGCTTGTCTGTATAGAGCATGATCTTAGGGAACATTTCTGTAGAGTTGGGGCTTGTGTCCTATTTACTGCAGTTTCTCTGGCTCGGATTCGTCGTCCTGGGTTTAATAGTATTGAGTGTACAGGGCACAGATTGCTCTCGGGTGATGTATTTAGTGCCGGGCACACAGGTGTCCTTTCCTTGTGAAGGCACAGGCTTGACTGGGGGAGGGAGGCCGGCAGGAGGTGGGGCCCTGCTGTGTTGAGGCTGGGGGTACAGTCGGAACACGCCGGTCCGGGCATGTGATAGGTGTGGTTCTTTGGCATGAGGCCAGGCATATTGGAGGTGTGGGTTTGCTGGTTTCACTTTCCCAGCGGTGGATTGTAGGGTGAGAGTAGGCTTTGGAATCTTGGCAGCCATTATAACCTTAAGGGGTTGTCATATCTTGGCCTTCTGCTTATCGTTTCCCCATGATGTCTGGACCTTTCGTCGGGTTGAGATTCAGGGTTTTTACATTACTTTTTGATTGTACTGTGTTTTGGCTCTGAAAAATGGATAAATTTTAGTCGGTATAATATGTGCCATTGACTAGGAGTCGTGCATGGACCTAATTTGATATAAGATCACTGTAGGACAGATAGCAGTGCTGTAGTTACAAAAAATGTGTACAAAGCACAGTAAATAAACAATGAATAATAAAACCGCTTAATTGGTTACCATTTAATAAATTAGGTGGGGGTGGCTTGCTCTCATGGTGTTCACGCCTATATCTAGCTCTGTGCAGATTGGCCGAGGGGATACCAGATTTTTGGCTCTATATGTAAAAAAGGTTGGATTTTCGATGGATCCGCCGTGAGAGTGAGTGAAACCGTTTCTCTAAATAGAAAGAAATATGACCACTCAAAATATATTAGAAAAATTGCGGCATGGGGCGCATGCTGTAAGTCAGCTACTCGGGAGGTGAGGCATGGAGGATGCCTGAGCCAGGGGTTCTGAGGTTGCTGTGAGCTAGGTGACGCCACGCTCTGGTAGCGGGGCACAGAGGTGAGACTCTGTTTTGAAAAAAAAGAAAGAAATGTACTATTTTTATACTAAATATTAGAAATGAATGCCTTTAAAAGGAAAATTCAAGCATTTGGTGGGAATTTGTTGTAGTATAAGGGTTCACGTTTTCTTAGTTACGGTTCCAATCTGCAAAGGGGCCTTGCAGCTTTATGCTGGGGAGGCCCCCCTCCCCCTGTCCCAGCATGTGAAGCAGTGTGCTTCAGATCAGTCGGAGCACCTCGCCCGCCCCAGCTATGTCTCACTGAGACAGACTGCCCGTTCTCGCTCTCCCAGGATGCGCGGGCGGCCCTGGGCCCTTCGACACCTACGGCTGTGCCCGCCTGCGGGACTAATGGACTTACGCGGTCCCTACACGGCCGCGTTGGCCGAGTCGGTCACCTGGATCCTCCAGAGGCAGCCCATCGAGGTGGCTCCCAGCCAGGTAACCCTCGTGACCTGACGGGAGGGCGACGTCCCTCCCCTCGGGGATTTCACTTAGTCACGGCGCCCCGGCGTCGCGTTGCGCTCGGATGCTCCCACATGCTCCCACAGGAGGACGAGGACGGCTTCCAGCTGCAACAGGAGCTTGTTGAGCTTGGACACAGGCCCCCCCTTGCCACAGCCCTTCTCTCGCTGAGACGCGGGGGGCCTGACCCGGCGGAGACAGTGCGTGGCAGCGCCGTCCGCTCCCCCGTGGCCCCGCTCCGGGGCGCGGCGGGACCCTGGGCACACACAGCTGAACTAGGGCAGGCGCTCTCCCGTCTGTGTCCGGGCGAAGTCGCTGCAGAAAAACAGAAGTGACGGGACCGCTGGCACTGAGTCCCAGCCCCTGATAGGGACGCAGTGGGCATTTGTGAGTGGGAGGCTCCGGGCCTCTCCCCTGTGCGCAGACCGCACGGGAGAGACGGCGTCGGGGTGGGAGTGGGCACTGCCTGGGACGCGGCTCTTGTCCTGCTGCGGTGCCCTGCGCCTCGGCCTCCCCAAGGAGGAGCAAGAGGGTTAGAGCCTTAAGAGGTGACGGTCAGAGAGGGACAGTGGGGGCCGGGCGCGGTGGCTCACGCCTGTCATCCTGGCACTCTGGGAGGCCGAGGCAGGCGGATTGCTTGAGGTCAGGAGTTCGAAATCAGCCTGAGCAAGAGCGAGACCCTGTCTCTACTATAAATAGAAAGAAATTAATTGGCCAATGAATATATATATAGAAAAAAAATGAGCCGGGCATGGTGGCGCATGCCTGTGGTCCCAGCTACTCAGGAGTCAGGAGGATTGCTTGAGCCCAGGAGTCTGAGGTTGCTGTGAGCTAGGCTGATGCCACAGCACTCACTCTAGCCTGGGCAACACAGTGAGACTCTGTCTCAAAAAAAAAAAAAGAGGGACAGTGGGGACCACAGCCACGTGCTCACCAGAGCCACGTTCCAGCCACGTGGGCCGACCCCGCGTGCAGGATGCGCCCTGACCTGCTCTGGGGCCCCGAGAGCAAGAAAGATGTCACAGATGCAGCCTGGACATTGGTGACAGAAGGAGGGAGGGAGGGAGAGGAGATTCTTGAGTCTGTTCCGCTCCTTTGGGTGATGGAGCAGTGAGAAGTTTAGACGGCACAGGGTCTTCTCACATGCTGTGCTGGGAGGCTGGGGAGCCACACGGGCCCAGAGGAAGGCGCAGGCGGACTGCACCAGTCAGCCGTTGCCGCGACAGCGCTGCGTAACAAAACACCCGCAGTGGTCACGGCAGTGTTTATTGTTCCCGCTCACGGGTCCGTGTGTTGGCTGGAGGCTCCTGGGCTGTGGAGGGTGGAGCTGTGGGGAAGGCTGGGGCTGGTCCAGGGTCTCCCTTGTGTCCTAGACCAGTGGCTACCAGGGCAGGGGCTCGTGGTCAGCGACAGAGAGGCCAGTGACACACACACCCCGAAGCCCCTGCTGGCCTCACGCATACTCTCATCCTGTTGGGCAGAGCAAGGCTCCATGGGAAGGCCGTGGAGTGACCGAGCAGGGCCCTAACCTGTCACCTACACACCCTGCAAGCTGAGAGCCCTTGTCTCAGGGTCATGGGTCTGCAGTGGCTTTTCTTTTCTTCTTCTTCTTCTTTTTTTTTTTTGTCTTGAGACACAGTCTCCCTCTGTTTCCCGGGATAGAGTGCCGTGGCGTCAGCCTAGCTCACAGCAACCTCCAACTCCTGGGATCAAGCGATCCTCCTGCCTCAGCCTCCCGAGTAGCTGGGGCTACAGGCATGCGCCACCATGCCCGGCCAGTTTTTTCTATATGTTTTTAGCTGGAAAATTAATTTCTTTCTATTTTTATTAGAGACGGTTTCTCGCTCTTGCTCAGGCTGGTCTTGAACTACTGAGCTCAAACGATCCTCCCGCCTCGGCCTCCCAGAGTGCTAGGATGACAGGCGCCACCCATAGTGCCTGGCTATTTTCTTCCTTTTTATTATCTAAATATTCTAATTTTTTTTCTAAAATGCGTATATAATATTGTATACTTTTTATTTTTTATTTATTTATTTATTTTTTGTTGTTGCTCAAATACTCTCAAGTGGCCTTTATTTCAAATGTATACTTTTTATAAAGTCATAGTATCTTCTCTCTGGAAATCTTAAGAATCTGCAGGAATTCTGCCTGTCTAAGGTAGTTTGGAGTTTGGGGGTGACAGATGCACAGTGTCGGCCACCGCTCCCCACACCCGCCTGGTCAGGCATCTCGCGGCGGTCCCAGGGGGCATTGTCATCCTGGTGACACTCATTTCTTTTCTGTCAAAAGTTCCGTGGGGTGGGGATTTGGGTGGTTCTGCCTTAAGACCCTTCACGGACTGGCATGGGACATGGCTGGGGCTGCCGCTATCCTGAGCGGGGCGGGAGGTCCGTCCCCCGAGGCAGCCTCCCAGTGGCTCCTCTCCCCGGGCGGCTGGAGCAGTGCACGGCACAGCGGCCAGCCTCCCCGCACCAGTGACCTCGGACGCCAAGGTGGCAGCCGCAGTGCTTCTGTGACCTTGCCGTGGCCCACACCCACCCTCACTCCCTCCCCGTTTACTGGTCACTTGGCGCCGTCCCCATTCGGCGGGGGTGCGGGGGCTGCCCGCCGCCCTGCGCCGGCTCACGCGCCCGCCCGTGTCTCCCCAGCTGTCGGCGCTGCGCTCGCTCCTGTGCTCCGCCGCCGGCGAGGAGGAGACGGTGATGGCGGACAACTACCGCCCGCTGCAGCCCCTGCTCGGCCGCACGGTCCGAGCGTCCTTCCCGGCCACCAGAGAGGGTCCACGTGGGTAGGCGGGACTGGCTTTGAGAAGAGGGAATCACAATGTGATTGATCCTATGCGACTTTCGAAATTAAAAAGAGAGAGGTCGTTGTTGCAGTCCGTGTGCTTTTCAGCGGCAGTGAAAGAAATCGCTTCAAAGGAACGTGAGTGCCACGGGGACATATCACTGGGACGCAGGGGTGGGTCACGGGGCCTCGGGAGAAGCGCCACTCACCAGGGTTGTCGGTGGCCCCCAGCTCCACTCTCCCTTTCTCCCCACGGCGTCCTTGTCACGCCGACGGCCACCCCTCCGTTCCCACGGGACACGAGGCAGAAACTAACACCCTCCTTCCCGATGTCAAGCTCCCACAGCATCCGTGTCCTGGAGCTGCCGTGACAAAGTGCCACGAACTTAGTGGCTTAAAACGACAGAGATTGACTCTCAGGGTTGAGAAGCCGGAAGCTGGGGTCCAGGTGTCCAGGGGTTCCCTCTGAGGGCTCCGGGGAGGACCCTTTTCCTGCCTCTCCACCCTCTGTGTCCCCTTCTGAGGACCCAGTGAGGACGTGGGCCCCACCTGGATAGCCCGGGGGTCTCTCCCCACCTCAAGACCCTCCCCTTAGTCACACCTACAAAGCACACCTGCAAAGCCCCTTTCGCCACGTGAGGTCACGTAGCCGCAGGTTCTAGGATTAGGGTGTGGACGTCCTTGGGGGCCACTGTCCCGCTGACCACAGTCCCTAACCGTGACACCCCTGGCGCTGGGGGTGTGGAGAGGGGTGGGCTGCTCTGTCAGGTCACACTCCCGGGCCCCGGGGGTCAGGACGTGGCCATCGTGGCCATTCTTCAGCCCCACGCCGTGCGGGCAGAGCCAGGCTCGAACCTTCAGCCGAGCAGCCCCGAGGCTGGTCCCCCGGGGCTGCCTGGGGGTGGCACGGGGGAGCCACCGGGGGCGTGCGGATGTCGGAAATGCTCTAGACTAGGGTTGACCTATGGCACTTCCTGAGACGATGGAATGTTCCAGAACTGCACCCTCTCTGCACGGCAACCCTTGAGCGCTCAATCTGTGGTGGTGCACGATGGAGGAAGTGAATTGTAATTGCACTCGATTTTAATTAGTTAAGGGTCGCGTAGCCTCATGCACCGCACAGCTCTCTCGTCCTGGGCGGCAGTCACGTGGGTTTGCACGTACGGAAAGCCACGGGGAAGGGGGAACACTCGAGATTCGAGCCTCTGCACATTTCACTGTGTCTACAGTAACACCACGCCTCAATTTAAAGAAAACGCTTTGCTGCCCGCCTGAGAGCTGGTTTCTGAGCCTCTGCAGACCTGGCCCTTCCGCAGCTCGGGGCAGCGTCCGGCTGAGAGGCAGAAGGGCGAACGCGGCCGTCAGCGTGGTCACTGGCACACGGCGCGGACGCACAGGGCCCCGCCTGCGCCTCAGCCCCCGAGGGCATCTCGGAACACAGTCCCCTGGAGCCAGCGTCACCAGGCAACGACGCCTGCTGTGTTTGCTGAGGCTCCCGCAGGTAATTCCTTCTCCAGAAAAAGTGTTTAAAAGGAAAGGCGTCCCAGGAGTGTGAGGTTGCTGGTGAGCGAGGCTGACGCCACGGCACTCACTCCTAGCCTGGGCCAACACAGTGAGACTCCCTGTCCCGCAAAAAAACAAAAGAAAAAGAAAAAAGAGAGGAAGAAAGAAAGAAGAAAGAGAGAAGAAAGAAAAAAAAAAAGAAGAAGAAAGAAAGAAAAAAAGAAGAAAGAGAGAGGAGAAGAAAGAAAAAAGAGAAAGAAGAAGAAAACAAAGAAAGAAAGAAAGACAAGGAGAACGCGAAGAAGGGAAGGAAAGAGAGAAGAGAAAGAAAGAAGGAAGGAAAGAAGGAAGACAGAACAAAAAGAAAGGAAAGGAAGAAAGAAAGAACAGAACAGGAAGAGGTAGGAAGAAAGAAAGAAAGAAGAAAGAGAAAGAAGAAAGCAAGAAAGAAAGAAAGAAAGAGAGAGACGAGGAAAGAAGAGAAGAACGAACGAAAGAAAGAAAGAAGAGAACAGAAAGAAAACGAAGAAAAGAAAGAAAGAAGAAAGAAAGAAACGAAAAGGCTGTGTTGGGCTCCTACCGGGACCCCACGTCTGGGTGGTGACAGGATGAGGCTCGGGAGGAACCCACCCCAACCCCACCAGACTTGAACGAAGGCAACGAGTCGGAACCGGAATGCGTCTCTGTCCCGTTTCTCGCTTACGCCCTCACCGAGCCGGCCACGTAGGGGCGCCTACCGTCGCAGGCACGGCATCGCACGCGGCCCCAGCGAGGGGCCACACCCGCCCCGTCGCGCCCCGCTGCTCCCGGGCACCGGGGGCTATGTCTCTGCCCCACGGCTGGGACACCGGACCACACGCGAGGCCAGCCTCAACCCCCAAAAGCTTGGGCGGTGCCCTCCGGCCCGGGGAGGGGTGCCTCACCTGACCTCGTTAGGCCGGGCGGGCCCCAATCCACCACAGATCCTCCGGCCACGAGTCTCTGCCGAAATCATCCCAGCTTTTAAGGAAACTGAGGCTCGCCTGAGAAGCTGAGAGCCTCGTCAGCGGCCCTCCCAGGCGCAGGGACAGGCAGCGTGTTGCCCCTGCTGTGCTGACTGGCTCCACAAGGGAGAATGCAGCCGCATCGAGGGAAAGTCCTGAGCTTAGATCCCAGCTCATTCCACGACGGCCGCAGCTGCGCTGTGACAGGAACCCGCGGCCACCGAGAGGCACCTGCTCAGGCCCGCGCCGCCCGTGGAAGGAATGACCCGGGCACCGGAGGGCGGGGCTCCAAGCGCAGAGCTTGGGACCGAGGCAGAGCGGCCACACGGCCATCTCCCCGTGCCACCCATTAACACGGGGACGCGGGGACAGAGACGGGCCCAGGAGCCAGAGCGGCCTGCCAGGCCCTCGGAGGGGAGACGGACGGCAGCGCCCCGGGGCTCCGGTTCCGCCGGCCGCGCGGCAATGCCACGTCCAACGGGAGCACCGCGCGGAGCCGGGCGTGACCGGCTGTCTCCACGTTGGTGCGGTGACTGTCCTCGGTGCACGGACGTCTTTGTCGCCTGAAGAAAATGTCCCCGGTTATTTTTAAAAGCTGTTGTGAGCCCCGAGACCCTGCGATCCTCCTGGGAAGGGGACCAAGCCTGGACACCTTGTCACGAAACCACAAACACACGGGGAGGAAAAGGTGTTGACTTCGGACCTCAAAGCCCCGGCACAAAAACAAACGGAAGGACCCCCTGTCCCCGGCAGGGCTTTGAGAGCTCAAGGCCGGGCTGCGGGGCGGGCTGGCGATTGTACTGAGGGTTCCTGGCCCCACTTTGAAGGTTCAAGGCTTCCTCCCTTTGCTTTCATGTTATTTTCTCGCTTTGTGACCATGCAGATGTGTGAGCCGCGTTCCCGTCCCTGGCAAGCTGCCACCCCTCCTCCCCCGCCCTCCCCGGTGGGTGACCAGAGAACAGCCCGTTCCCAGGGGGCCACCAGGAGCAGACTCGGTGCCCTTGATGCTGCCCCCCACGCCCGAGGACAAAGTCCCTGTCGCCCCCTTGCCACCCCCAGGGCTCACACAGCCCCTGCCCCCACTCCCTCCACGTGCCTGACTCCTGCTCCCGCCTGGCGCCACCTGTCTGGTGTCACCTGGAGCACCTGCCTGATGCCATCCGCGCTCCTGCGGTGGCCGGGGACCTCCTCCTTGGGGACTTGTGCCTCGTGCCGAGAGGCGGGCTGTCTGCTGGCGGCCGTGTCCCCAGCCTGGCGCCCAGCGCCTCCCTGTCCACCCGCCCTGCGCCAGAGCCAGACCCCGGGGTCACCCTCAGGTCCTCCTCACCCCTCAGTCCCTGAGCCCAAGGCGATAGGGCTGAGGGATGTCACCAGCCTTCTGACTTAGCCACCCCTTCCCAGCCTCTCCCCCACGCCCGCCAAATCCACGCTTAACAGCGGGTCTTTTCTGGGAAACACTTGCCTGGCCAAGCTGCTCCCTGCCCACAGCAGGCTTCTCCTCACATTGGGATGAAGCACCAGCTTTCCCCATGAGGTCCCCACCCCCTCCACGTGGGCTTGCGTGTGCGGCATCCCCACACGGCTTGTCGGCTCTGCCGCTACCTGCGCAAGCAGATTCTCCCTTCCTCAACGTCCTCCCCAGCCACCTGCCTGACCACGGGCCTCCCGTGTCCCAGCCCCCATCTCTGGGCATGTGTCTCCAAGCGTGGCACTCCTGCGTGTTAGCTCGTTTCCCCTCTGGGGTGTCTGGCCTGGGGGTGGTGTCCCCATCTGCTCTGCCGGCCCATGGCACAGCTGTGCTCCCGCTTGTGGGGCTCAGGTAGGACTCGCTGCACCCAAGTCAGACATATGACCTCTGGCTCTGCACCCAGGGTGCCATCCCGCTCCTGTGCCCACCCTTCTCTGCCCACTGCCCCGCCACGCCGTGCGTTTCCTCCTCTCTCCCAAAGCCCAGCCCCAGAGCCTGCTCCCAGGACGCCACCCCCGTCCCCACGCCAGGCAGCAGCATGCCCTCCGCTCTGGGCTCTGCACTCCACTGCCGTTTGCTCTTCCAGCGTTTCATGTCGCCACAGCTGTGGGCTCACAGGATGCCCACGGGCCACGGTGTCCCTGTGGGCGTCTCCTTCCTGCAAAGCCGGGCATACGTCTAGCCATCGCTAGATATTTCATGGGCGGCGGGGTATGAGACGCTTTTGGCTACAAACATGAAACGTCCTTAAATCAGCGATCTGCTGACCCTCGCTCTCGAGAAGCCAGGGCAGGGAGGGGAGCAGGTGTCACCACGGGACGGGCCCAGGGCACACGTGGGGCACGTGGCCCGTCACAGGGCAGCACGGATCGCAGCCCACACGGCAGAGGGCACGGTGCAGGGTGGGGGACAATATGCACCCGGGCACTTTCCGAAATAAAGAGTGGGACCGTAAACTGCAAAATCCTCCTTTGCAGCTCTGAGCTCCCCGGACGTGGCCGTAAGGCGTCTGTCCCCCGGGCCGCTGTGCCGGAGCTGAGAGGGAGAGCAGCAGTAGCCCAGGCGGGCGGCGCTGAAAGAGCTCAGGTCCCTACAGACAACAGAATTCTTCTTTTCTTTTTTTCTTTGAGACTGAGT